GTAATTGCTTGTTTTCTTCATCTTGCTCCATTTGAGTATGAACTTTGAATACCTGCAAAATACTGGACAAATAATGTGGAAATATCTGAAATCGGAGTGAAAACGGTCACTGATTAGTAAAAAAGTACGTCATTATATATATACGATTTCGCATTATCAAACTCCCCTAAACTTGAATCCTTGCTTGTCCTCAAGTAAAGGTAGGAAAAGTTACAGTTTGGCAAGCACGCGGCACGTTCTCCCTTTGATAAGATTTCTCAGACGTCAAGTTAGGAAAAACCGGGGGTCCAATGGAAACAAAACATATACGGCGATGGCACTGGATTGTAAGTCTTCGAAGGCCTCTCTTTTATGCAAGCCTGTCCCAATCATGTTACTGCAGCTCGGCTTCAAGTTTCTCGCGACAAATTTTACCCGGTTTCGCTCTGGCGCAATCACATTAAACCCGTTGTCCATACACGTTCATGGCAAGCAAACCTGTTGGTGACTATGATCTCTTTCCTAGTTTGATTTTTCTTTGCACATATGCTCATTCTGCTATAAATCTGCAAGAGTTTTGTACCGTTGGGCTAAATGCTCGGGCGAGGAGCACCTAACTTAGAAGGGACGTGTCTCTATATTCAGGCTATATGGCTTTTCTTTTCTTTCAAGATTATTGAATTCATACTAAAGATCACACACTTATTTGCATCGATTTCTTGCTTAGAAGTGTTTAGGATGGTGCTGACTGCTCGTATAAACTACTGGGGGCTCCGTTTGAGTCGAAAGTTGAGGCTTTGGTACAAGTAAGTAGTGAGACTGACTCGCATAAACCAGAGGTCTAAGGTGTCAGGGCGGTAGTGGCTTTGTTAAAATTTTCTTCTCGGAAATTCCAAACTTGGTAAAGTTCAGGCGTGTCACGTGATGCTTTGGAGAGGATAAAAGTTTCTTTGTATATGTCGGATAAAGCGCGGGGAGTTCACGTAACGGAGGGATATATATATATATATATAAGATCTTTATTTGCCAAAATTAAAAATACTTTAAATTGAAAATTCGAAAGAAAAAGTACAATCGAAAATGGGAAATAACAGGGAAAAGGGAAATAACGGTCCGCTCCCACACTATCTCAATCAGTGTCCTCACTGATTTGAAAGAATGCGGAAGGGAAAAATACAAAGGAGAAAAAACAAAAAGACAAGAAATGAAAAATACTACTATTCCTTTCCTCTTCCTCTATCTCTACCTCTACCTCTAGCTCTTCCGTCGCGTGCCTCGAGGTTCAAAACTCCGGTGTGGAAGATGTAATCACGGAGGCCGTCGACTCGCACAGTGAGGTTGGCCATGTCATCGGCCAGGCCGGAATGGACGTCCTGGATCTGCTGCATAGATGTCCTCATGTGACTGGTTTGTTCTCTCTGCCACGCTTCAAATTTTTCAGCCCGTCGGTTCTGCTGTTCCATCATAAGTATCATCTGGTTCTGCTGTTCGATGCAGCGGAGGAGAGCAGCGGATGTGTCACCGGTGTCGGGACGGCGGCGGCGGTTCGAGGAAAGGCCTTCGGCAGCAGTTTCTTGTGATGGCTCAGCCTGGTCGGCTCTGTCTAACTCCTCTTGAACTTCATCCCTGGGCTCTTGGGCATTATCCTGAGTTGGGGCAGCAGGGGCAGTCGGATCGAAGAGCTAGTTGGCTCTGTCCTGCAGATGCATTCAGGTGCGAGAAGGCATGATGATGCTCTGGATAGTGCGACCTCGCACTACTGGATGATATTTTCCATTTGTGCGGGATCTGATTAGGTGAGAGTCGCGACAATGGCCAGTGTCTAGGAAGACAGGGGGCATCTGGCGGAGGGTCTGGAGGCGGTCACCAAGACCGAGGCCTAAGACAATAGATGTGATGATGCCACCAAAATAGAAAGGTTTTGAGCCGCGATTGCAATTGGCTTGAATGTGAGCCAAGAGGAATGGGGCGGCGTTAACAGGTTCCGAAGCGAACACGCAACGGAGATAAAACAGCTCCTTCGAGTTGACCTTGTGGTTACTGTCACGGGCGAAGATAATGTTGCTCAACACGCGATGAAAGTAGCGGATTGTTGGGTTGTGGATGTGAGTGGCATTCAGAGTGTCCCAACTTTCTGGAGTGGTGCCGGTCAGTTGGTTCCATAGAGGGAAAGCTTCTTGGTAGAACTGATCGGAGAGGCGGCGGTGAGCATCGTCGCCGTGAGAGAACTGTAACATGACGGCGATGCAGTCTTGGGGGACTTGATATTCGGTGTCGAACAAGCGGAAGAAAGCGGCGCCAGTAAGCTGATTGGTATGACCGGGTGAAGTTACATACGCGAAAGAACTGAGAAACTCCAGTGTGAGTTGCTCGTAGGTGGGTTGGGGATTGGTGCAGAGATGCTAGATGCTGGCTCTCTGTAACATCCAAGTTACGCCATCCAGAATTCCCAGTTCTGTCAGAGACTCTAGGTGAGCATACCGGGTCGGCTGAAGTGACCGTTGATGGAAAGCTATGTAGTTGGTCTGCTGCCTTTCGCCGGTCTCGCCTTCTCGGAAAGTGATATTGCTCAAGTCGGGGTTTGCACGATTTTGCCTGGCCATTTTTCGTGAGAGAGGTGCAGAGGTTGAGAATAGAAAGTTTCTGTGGATGGAGAGGTATGGGAATGTAGAGGTCAATATATAATAGTGAAATGGAAGATGAAATGGTGGAGGGTTAATGGGGGGGTTCAGAAGGTTTGTAGTGGGGTTTAAATGTGTGAAAATGGGGAATTAGGAGAGTGGAGGTGAAAGGATTCGTAACCCCTGTTTTTGACAGAATTGGGGTTTTATTCGCGTGACGACCATCAGGGGTGTGTGACGGTCGTAATACGCGTGACGACCGTCAGGGGTGTGTGACGACCGTCACACCAGCAAATTCTGCAGAAATGCAGAAGTTCGCTTGGGGGGCGTTTTAACAGTGGAATATGTGATTTTTGAATTCTTATGCAGTATGATAGACTGATTACAAAATAGAAAATAACATGAAACATAATTAAGGGAGATACCGGAATGAAATTAAAATGACATTGAATCAAAAACGAGTTTAAAGTAATACAATATCCAAAAAGAAACAATTGCAAACTTAAATAATGTGAAACAATGTGAAATGCAGTAAACTAAAATTAAAAAGAAAACTAAAATATTACTCCTTTGGTTTCTTCAAGTTGTTGATCTGCTGAATAACGTCATTAAATTGGTTGCTAACTATGCCCATGTAAGTAACGAAATCCATGTGAAGTTGCGTTAATTCATCTTTTATAGTGGTTACTTCCAGCTTGAGGTCGTCCATAGTTCTCAGAACAGTGTCCAACTTGTCTGTGTCTTGTTCAGGAGTGGGGTCAGAAAAGTTATGGTAGTTAGGAGGGGTCTCAGGATCTATCTCCACTTCGGACTCATAATCTTGGTAGTACAAATAGTCATGTGCTTCTGATATTTGATCACTATCATACATGTAAGCCTAGGGTGTGGAGTGAGGTGATGAAGGTCCCATAGGCTCGTCCAATTCATAAAGCCAATTGTTTCTATTGTGGATACTTGTTAGCTCGTGGTTGGGCAATGTGAAAAGGTGGACAGGTTGATCAGCTATGAGGTATTCGTAGGCTCCTGGTCCTAAGGTACCTAAGATACGTCTGTTGAAGCAGAATTGGATGTTCATTGATCTGAGGTTGCCGAAACGAATGGCTTTGTTCAGGTAATACCTCAGGCCAATTTCGTGGGCAATCATGGTGACTAAGCCTCCTATTAAAATGGGTGTGTGAGTTTCCTGATTAAGGCGTGTGAATGCCCTCATCATAAAGGGACAGCATTTACAGGGCGGCCTTGTGAAGCACAGAGAAGGATGAACAACTCTTCCTTTGAGACTGTTGTAATGTTTTCCTCCTTCCCAAAGAGGGTATGGGCTAAAATCCTATGGAAATAACAGAGGGCTGGATTGTGTATCTCGTTGTTGTGCATGTCATTCGGTTCAGGGTGATAGTTACCGGTGATGGTACCCCAGAAATGTTCTAACTCGAGATCAATATCCTCTTCAGTGTTGGTAAACACAAAAGGTCTGCTAGGGAAGCCTAGGATGTTAGCTAACAATGTACGGTTGTGTGTTTGGTCCATTCCAAACATTCTAAAGGTTATCATCTCTTTGGTGGATCCATAGCCATGTTCGGGTAAGTAACTTAAAGAGCTAAGGAATTCGAACGTGAGTTCGCGGTAGGTAGCAAATCGGGTCTTTAGAGCAATTTGCTCCCAGCCTAATTGGTTAAATAGGTACTGAATGCTATCCTGGATTCCTAGCTTGTCCATGGTGGATCTATCGTAGTACAGAGTCGAAGCAAAGCTTCTCTGAGTCAGTGCCTCAAATCCGGCCTTATGAGCTAGTCCTCTAAATACAACAGTCGTAACGTCGATGTCAGCCATACTCGGAGGTTAGTCGGATAAAAACGGAAGAAAAGTAGAGCGACTTTAAAAATCCTGGAAAAGTTAAAATCACATTCACTCAGATTAGATTTTTAAGAAGCAAAGAGTGATAAAAGAAAGAAAAATAAAATAAAGTAAATAGTAGAAAATAAGAAAATAGAAATTTATGGAAATTATAAGTTAAGATGCAAAACATAGTTTTAATAAAAAGGTGTATCTCAAAAATTATTTTTATAAAATACTATTTAAAATAACTTTAAAATTAAGTGATATTTTGAAATTTTGATATTCAAAAAAAAATTCAATAAATATCTTAAATAAAATTTTAATAATAACTATTCAAACTAAATTTTTATTCGTAACGAGGTTGTTTGAACCTTTTTGTGAGGGGTTTAATCCTCACAACAAACCAATTTTTATGTATTGCTCAAGCAAGATTTAGTACACTGAAATTTCTCATCAGAAGGCTCATCTTCTAAGTCACTGAAATTAATGTGTAATTTATTATTGTTTACTTTTTAGGTATTGGCTTTGGACATCAGTTGTGAATACTATGAGTTAGGATTGCCGATGATTGAAAAAGCTGGAGTGCTTCACAAGATTGACTTTAGAGAAGGATATGCTCTCCATCTTCTTGATGAACTTCTTCAAGATGTGTGTTTGCATCATTTGCCATCATTTGTATCATTCAAGCACATATTTCCAACTTATAATTTTATATATAATGATTAATTGAATTAGAATCCATAAATTTTGCAGGAAAATACCAAGGGAACATTTGATTTTATTTTCGTGGATGCTGATAAGAATAACTACATAAACTATCACAAGAGGGCAATTGATCTGGTTAAAGTTGGGGGATTAATTGGATATGATAACACCTTATGGAGTGAGTCAGTGGCGGCTCCACTTGGTGCACCTATGATAGACATCATTAGGAATTTTCGTGATTATGTGATTGAGCTCAACAAGTATCTAGTTCAAGATTCAAGAATCGATATTTGTCAGCTCTCTGTAGAAGATGGAATCACGCTTTGTCGCCGTATAAGCTAACTCTTCTCCTGTGCTCATTTGTTTGCTTGGAAATAATTTGGATTTTATGTGTGGATCCTCTTGTTGTGTATTGTTGTTATATCTTTCCTATGACTACATTGATTAATATTTCTTGTGCTTAATTTTTGTGTTATATATGTTATTAAAAGTGTTTTGGAGACCAGGATATTCAATTTTGTAGCATGCATTATCAAATTGGTATTCTTAAAATAATTGTGATTTGTTTGTTTGTTCTTTAAAATTTTGGAAAGCTCGAAACCCCATGTCTTTTGAATGAAGTTTAATTAGAGAATCATGAATATGGTTGATCGTATAAAAATAACTTCATGGTTAGTGGATTAAGAGCAAAGCCAAAAAAATATTGATTATGGTTTATTCTTTTGGTGGTCAAATGATGACTTGAAATGCTTGTTTGGTGTAAAAGTTCAACTTCCTTTGCATGTGCTTGTTATGGTTTAAATTCAACTTTTTGTTGCTTGAAATTTTATCAGGATAACACCAATGATATTTACGAATGAGGGAGTGAACTAAAGATTAAATGGAAAATTTTGGCATATGGTTATTATTGTATGTATTTTTTTTATCTTAATGCTATAATCTAGCGGTAGGGTATTTGTAAACACTTTAAAATTATTTTAGCGTTGAAGTTAGTAATACAGAATAAAAGATATTTCATTACAAAACAAATCTTATATAGTTAGAGAATTTTGGCATGGGTAAAACTCCTAACTAAAAATATAAATATAAAAAAAACGTGGGGCGACCTCTCGCAAATATGAAAGAAAAATATTTTAAAATTTGAAATTGACATAACTAAAGGTCACCCTTCAAAAAGAAGAAATAATGTCAAAATGGAACTGACAAATGTTGCCCTTTGCAAGAGGATACCCCTCACCAAATATATTCGTTACATTAGTAAGGGAATACCCCTCTCCAATTAGGGTTAAGTCAAATTAGTCTAAAATGTATTTGTTACATTTTCTAAAGCCTGCTAGTTGCCTGCAAATTGTCTATGACACGTTAATCATTTGCTAGGGGCAGTCCCTAAATATTTTTTTATTTATAAAATATGTGATATATGATAAATCATATATATATATATATATATATATATATATATGTGTGTGTGTGTGTGTGTGTGTGTGTGTGTGTGTGTGTGTGTGTGTGTGTGTGTGTGTGTGTGTGTGTATGTGTGTGTGTGTGTGTGTGTGTGTGTGTGTGTGTGTGTGTGTGTGTGTGACTTTATTTCTAAAATGAATTTTTTATTTATAAAATATGTGACATATGATAAACCTCAAGATTTTGATGCAGATGAGCTCTCAAACGAGAAAGTGCAAATTTTTTATCAATTATTGAAAGAAACAAATTTACCACTATTTGAGGGGTCTTTTGACTCTAGGCTATCCATGTGTGTGAGGATGTTGGTTGTGAATTCAAATTGGAATATTCTTGATCAAAGTTTGGAAATCTTTGCAAAATTGATGTTGGACGCGACTCCTGTGAAAGAAAACATGCATACAAGTTATTATGATGAGAAAAGGATGGTGTCGAAGTTTGTACTAGACATAAAAAAGATTGATTGTTGTATTGGAGGTTGCATGTTTTTTAATGACAACGAGTTTGGTACAAATGACGGGGGATTGGAGGAATGTAATTTTTGTCAGAGTTCAAGGTATTTAGTTCGCATTAAAGGCGTTGATCGAAAGGAAAACGAGTTACAGTGAAGTCCATGTTTTATATGCCAATAATACCTAGATTGAGGAATGTAATTTTTGTCAGAGTTTGGTACAAATGACGGGGGATTGGAGGAATGTAATTTTTGTCAGAGTTCAAGGTATTTAGTTCGCATTAAAGGCGTTGATCGAAAGGAAAACGAGTTGCAGTGAAGTACATGTTTTATATGCCAATAATACCTAGATTGAAAAAAATGTTTGCGTCAATTCATAGTGCAAGCAAAATGCCATGGCATCATACAAATACCAGTAGTTCAGACATGATGGCCGACATGAAAACACGTTGATAAAGTACATCCAAATTTTACAGCAGAACCCAGAAATGTCAGGCTTAGATTATGCTCAGATGGTTTTACTCTATATATCCAATTGTCAGCAATTGCATATTCTTGTTGGCCAATTACTGTTACCCCGTACAATAATTCTCCTGAGATGTGCATGAAGCAACCTTACATGTTTTTGGAATGCCTCATTCCAAGATTATACAATGTCCATCTTATGATGTGTCTCATAAATAAAACTTTAATATGCGAGCTACTTTGATGTAGACAATTAACGATTTTCCTACATATGGTGTGTTGTTTGTGTTGTGAATCAGATGTCTTTAAACAAAGTATAAAACAATTTCTTAATAATCAAGAAACACACAAGGGTTAGGGTTAACAAAGAAGACAAGGTAAAACAACAAGGAACAACAAGGATTGGTTATAAGCCGTTATTATTTCCTTTCTCTTATAATAAGATTACAAGTATACAAGAATAACAAAATAACCTCTCTCACTTGAAATTAGGATTTTATCTTCCTTTTTTCCTTATGCCAAGATTGAGAAACTAGCATCCTATTTATAAGAAAAATAGCACACTAACCTAATGGGCTTTTTAACAATTACCCATTACAAGTTAACTTAGGGTACAAGCTAACTTAAACACTTGGGCTTACAAGCAAGGCCCAATCCAATATGCTAAAAACCTAGCAATATTGACTAACGCATGTTAGAACAAACTTCGACTACAACACGCATTATCTTTGACAGCAGCATGCGAACAAACTTCGACCTCATGCTTAATTCCTGTCGAACCAGAAGCTACCATTTGACCATACTAGAGTTCGATCCAACATCTCACAAATCTCCACCTTGGATCTAACTCTATAACATCAAGAAACTAGCTTTCTTCATGCAGCTTTATCAACTGCATACAGTGGAAAAACTTGCAACTGGACGACGTCTTGGTGATCATATCAGCAACATTATGATCTGTCAAAACCTTCAGCACTTGGACTTCTCCACGCTTGATTACCCCTCTAACAAAATACAACCTTACATTAATGTGCTTGGTTCACTCATGATAGGCTGAATTCTTCGACATGTGTATTGCACTTTGACTATCACATTTAACAGTGATAAATCGACCTTGAAGTTTCAGCTCCTTTGCAAAACCTTCAAGCCACAACGCTTCCTTCATAGCTTCAGTTAGGACAATATACTCCTCTTCAGTGGTTGATAGGGCAACGACCTTCTAAAGCGTTTCTTTCCAACTGATTGTTGTCCTAAACATAGTGAACACATATCCAGAAATAGATTTTCTGGAATCCATACAGCCTGCATAATCAGATTCGACATATCCTCCGATTGTTGCTTTACTATCTTCACCCAAGACTCTACCAGAAATTATGTATCTTAGAATCCACTTCAATGCTTGTTAGTAAGCCTTTCCAGGATTCGCCATGTACCTGCTTACTAGACTTACTGCATATGCTATGTCAGGTCTAGTACAAACCATAACATACATCAAAGAGCCTATTGTGTTAGCATATGGAATTTTATTCATATAAATTCTTTCAACATCAGTGTTGGGACACTGATCTATACTCAACTTGAATTCGACATACAATACTTTTCGAGAATCTTCTGTAGGTATGCCTCTTGAGATAAGCATAATCTCGACTGCTTTCTATCTCTTTAGATGTCAATCCCAAGAATCCTGGACGCAGCTCTCAGATCCTTCATGTTGAACTCCTTATTTAGTTCATCCTTCACCCCCATTACCTCTTCGACATTGTTGCTTGCTATTAGAATATCATCCACATAGAGCAACAAAATAACAAATGAATTATCCGGTCAAAATTTGAAGTAAACACAGTGATCGAACTGACTTCTGATGAAACTTATGCCATATTTGTAAGCAGAATATTGTTAAAAAATGAGTCTAAGACCTGTAGAAAAGTTTCGCTTTGTAGAGGGACGTAACGGTGATATGTGATTCAAAGAAGGATGAGGGATTTATTGTGCAACTAACTCTCAAACTTGGTGAGGGCTCTCTTGTGTCTTTCTGGAACTCCTGGTGGCTTGGTGTGTTCTTTTTAAGGAGGCTTTTCCCTGATCTTTATGAAGTGTCTGAGAAGAAACTAAGTGTTGTCGGGGAAATGAGAGGTTGGATTGGGGATGTGTGGCATTAGAATATGGGCTTAATTGTAGTATTTTCAATGGAGGATTGGAGTCAAACTTCTGAGAGTTAATGTTGATGTTGGTTGAGGTCGGGCCGCTGATTGGTATAACTGACTCTTTATGTGGCCGTGTGGTCCTCTTAGCCTCTTTTTTATCAAATCTTGTTATGATTTACTATTGCAAGCTGGTGGCTTCTATGTGTTGGATATTGATCCCAAGACTGCACTGGATATTCTGTGGTTACTAAATATTTCGATGAAGGCAAAGATCTTTGGTTGGAGAATAATTTTGGACAGACTTCCTACGTGGTCCAACCTAGCGTTCGGGGGAGTAATTTCTAACTGCCACGAGTTGGTTTATGTATTTTGTTTCAATTCTGTTGAAAACAATGATCATGTGTTTTTTCATGGCCTCATATTTGTAAGGTTTCGAAGTTGATTTTGGATTGGGTTGGGGTTACTTGGATTGAGAAAGAAAACTATTGTGATCATTTGATGGTTTGGTTTTTGAAGATGGTGGGAAAAAAGTTTGTGTATGAATGCTAGTTTGATTTGGTTTAGTACTTGCTGGTGTATTTGGTGGACTAGAAATCAGATAATTTTTAATGATACAATTGGTAATCCTGCTGAAATTTTTCAAAGAATTATACATACTTCTTGGTGGTGGTTTTCTCTAAGTTCTAGTTGTAGAGTCAAGTGTAATTATTATGAACGGTTTAAAAGTTCTTTTGATTTTTTTAGGAGGTATGTGTTATAATTAGGATTGATTGATTTTTATTATAGGCAAACGAATGTGATTACTAGCGAAGCACTAGGGGTGC